AGCTTTTGAGATGGAATCAGATTTGCTGTCGCTAGCTTAAAGCTCAACTAAGAAAATCTATAGGAGACCTTCTACCTCACCCCTCCCTCCTGTGAGGACTAAAGAAATTTTTGGACCTTACCTGCTGATCCGAGAACGGATCCTTGGGTGTGACCGGAATCTCCTTCATCGTTGCGCGGGGTTCGTCACTATTAGCTGAAGCGAGAGATATGATGAATTTTCTTCTGATGCAGCAGAAAAACCCAAACTAATCAATTTCTGGGCATACGCCATGCTCTTAACACAATCTAGAATTATGGATATTCATAGTGATGTTCGATTTCCATGATGTTTACGAAACGAAGCCGAAGCTTCAACCAGTTCCAGCGGCGTACACATAAGCCATAAAGGAAGATAATCTCAAAATATTAGCCGTCATAAATCCGGGCAGTATACCATCCGCGTAGAGAGCTATTTCCAGAGAAATAAGGATGACGAAGAAGAGAAAGACTAACTACAGGTAATGATAGCAGTAGAGAAGTTCTGAATTCTCACAAATTTCGCTTAGAATTCGAATTTATGTGGAGGCAGCTAATTGGGTGAATCTCTTAACTATAAGTTAAAATAAACTCTCTTCAAAGTCGAAGTTCAGATAGCGGTTACTGGATAAGAATGAAATCTTTTGGTTTTGAATAACTTCATCTTAAAAAAAACGCCAACGCACTCAACTTTCAGATTCGAAGCGGCTTTCAAAGAAAACCATGAGCCCTCATTTTTTTTTATAATGAAGACTTGAACTACATTACCCCATCCATCCATACCAGAGGCTTCTTCACAAGAGAAGTAACTCCTGCTAGCTTGTAATAAACTCTGTGAGCAACGAAATGGAAGAATCGTGATTGAACATTCCAATGAAATGATCCCAATGTTGTTAAGCACTATGTGAACGTTCTAAGTATCCGCCAAGGTTTGCAAAGTCTAGCTCGCCATGATCGAAAGAACACCAGCATATACGGATATTTCATTACTGCAATGACCCAGATCTCCAATACTATTCGAATTATAACTTACTGATGGCACTGGTAATGTTTTCACACTGAGTTTGTGGAACACATGGAGCTGTGACGTCGTTTCTGCTTTTCACATAGCCGGGAGCACAGTGACAACCAGGATTGCAGGTAGACGAGCAATGCGGAACCTGTAAAATGGGAACTGGTCCATTCAATACCACTGTGTAAAAGCTGTAACGGATATAACCTAAGTGGTAAAGGTCATGTAAGCAACAATAACTCCACTAAAACGCGCCAAGCATTTGACTTCTATTTATTTATTGTATAAAGTAGAGAGGTTTGAATGTCGTTTGAGGAAACAAAGTGAGCCGGCTCGAGAGGAAATCAACACTCAGAGCCTGCCACCTTCATATCTTACATGAACAGATATCACTTGGTTGGAAAGAAGCCCAGAACCTCTTCCCTTGCCTGGAATTTCTAAAACTTCCCTTCCTGCGGTACCCATGGCGGAATACCATGTGGTAATTGTAAACCACTCTAGAAACTTCTCCTAATGAGGTCCATGAAGCCGGTTGCTTTTCTTGCTTTTGATCCCAGTGAGGATTCATAAAAGCACCTTGGGGCCTGATTCTTCTCTGATTGGTTGGAACGATGGTGATCTTTGGAGGGCATCGAGAGATTGCCATTCCTGTCAGCAATGTTCAATGTTGATTCGCTTCTCCAAAGAAGATGACATAGATTCCAAGGACAAGTTTCATTAGAAGCTCGCACGTGCATGGGAGAAGAATCCAACATCATCTGAATTCTCAAAGAGCATAGGAAGTACCTTTAGGTAGTCTTGCTGCGAAACTAGGGTGTACCCACTCGCCCGCTGGTGTCGTTTACAAAAAGGGCTAATCAGATGTTATGTCACGACCGATAACACCGAGTTATAAGCCGGTTATCCATTTATGACTCTCTTCTTCTCCGTTCGCACTGAAAGATGTCTGGAAAGCTTGATTCTACAATCATAGCACCCCTGCTACTCTGGCTTCCTCGAGCGGAATACCCGCCAACACGAGGTATCGGAGAAGTGTCTCTCTTTCTTCTCGTGGAAACCGTGATACTTGTAGACTGTTGCACTACGAGCTGCTTTCGCACACGCACAGTGCTAGTCAGCTGCGGAAATTCGAGGAGGTCATTCACGAATATTTTTTAATAAGACGATAAGTAGAAGTTGGAGGGGATGCCATCCTGAAGATTTCCAACTTTTCAAATGCGTGGTAGAAAGAGATCGCTCACCTGCTCGTCACACTACTACATATCAGTATTACCTTACTACATGAGCCTCAATGTAATGACTAATGAGAGGGGTCATGTTATCTGATAAATTCCATTGGGAGCTGAATGAGAGTGTCAAACGGCCCAAGACCTTTCACAGCCCAATACATTTGGGAAAGCGATAACATCAGCGTGCATACAGTTATTCGCGTATGTATACTTTATGGAGGATGTACGTAAGCAGAGAAAATAAATGTAATCACTCCCGTATGCTAGCAAAGAAATGAAACGAAATCACTCACTCCCGGTTGCCCACAGTATTCCGGGCAAAGGCTACCACAAGCCGTCCAGATCGCGTTTGGATCGGGACAGGTGCATCGCTGGGGATTTACTGCCAATGATAAAATCACCGGACGACAACAACGCTGAAAAGGATACCGAAATAGGTTAATGAAAAGGACGTTGAAGTGTAAATGTTAGCAATCCCAAGAAAAAGTATCGGAAACCTGTTCATCTGGACAATCAGCATCAGTCGCGCAGGACCTTCCACCAACATCTAATGTCACGGCAGGGCAAACTGTAGAGACCTCTGTAACAACAGCGATTCCAGAAAAGTCTGAAATCCATCCTCTAGAACCTACAGAGTCATCACAATAGAAATACAACAGCTTCGGCAATTTTTTTGAAAACATCCTACTCGTACCTTTGGTGGAAGATAGTCTCAGTTGCCGATTAATCCCCTCTGAGTTTCTTGTTCATACATTTGAAAATGCGGATAGAATTCAACAAATTTTTGCAGCAAATGACAGAAATTTCGCTAATTACGTTATCAACATAATCTATTGTTCAATGGAGACTCCAAAAGATTGACTCAAAGGTGTGGGGAAGTGCGAAGGCATGGGGTATGGGGATGCGAGTAGAATTGAACAGGAGGGATTCGGCTGTTTTAGATTAGTGGTATATAAGAAGCCATACTTGATATTATTAGTCCTTTTTCGTCTGTGTTGGCTGACTCGGACATTGTCGTAATCGACTCCACTGTTGTCTGTTCAGACTTTTCCTGAGTGAAGTCAGGACATTCGTCGAACCGCACACAGTCGGAGTTTCTCCAATCTGTTGAATTCAGGAACACCAGGCCTTAACGATTACGATTGACCTCGACGGAAGGATAAATATTTAACCCCATGTTTTCTTCAATCTTGGAAGACTTTCGAATGAATTCAAGTTTCAGACCGTTTTTACAGAAGCACCCAGATTCGCAAGGTGTACAGCTTTGTGGACGTCGATTGTCGCAGCCTACAGGGCACGAGGAGCCACAGACGATGAACTCCTGTATATAGAGAATTCAAAAAGTTGCTAAAACATTGGCAAAACATGCTTGATATACTTATGATCATGCCCTATGTTTGACATCAACTTTGATGAGGGAAGTTAAGAGAACGATAGAGTCGCAGTTCTCTTAAGAAGAGGGAGAAGTGGCCATCCGGCTGTCTTCATTTTCCTTCATGAAAACCAACAAATCAATCAATTAGCACAGATTATATGCCCCTTAGCAATTGACAAACACCTGGGAATAGGGAGCTTCAGAAGAACCGATAGACTTATATGGTTGATTCTTTCAGTTCAAAAGCCGGCGTAGATGGTCGAAGCGTTCAAATGCCCCACAAAACGGAGCCCCATCGGAATAAATGACCGTACAGTTTGAGTTGTTACGTATTAATCAGAGTGGTTAATCAGAGTGTTCCACAATGTTCATGACATTCTGTATAACTAAGTACTCTCTATTTTAGACTGAGGAGAGAAGTGACGCACTTGTCACTAACCAGGGAAGGATTTCGACTCCCTATGGAACTTTGGATAGAGGTATATCAATAGGATTTCTCATGCTATTTACAAATTTAGAAACTAAGGCTACTAAATGAGTCTACCAAAAAAAGTTGCGTCGCTGTTGCTCTCTCAAAGTTTGTTCGCTCAATGCACGGAGAGAATGATGGTACATCTCAATCTACACTCACGGTCAACGCCTTCATTTTATTATCTAGTGTAATGAAAAAAAACAGAAAATAAAAAATTAAATGGAAAAGTTTAAATTACTGAATGGAATGTCATTAATTTGAAATATTCCTAACCTTGAGTGGATCATTGCACTTTCGTTCACATTCCGAAGGCAGAACACATCGCGACGACGGATCCATTGGGTCCTGAAAAGATATTCGGTCTCGTTTTTTCTGAACAGGCTTCTCGGCAAACGTTCGAGCCTAACGCAATGAGGGTATTATTAATTACCACCTCTATAAGGTGAAAGGATCGGGCAGGGATAGTGGAAGGCATATGTTGCGCGCTGTAGCGCGCTAATAACCCGTAGTTGATACGACGCTAATCACAGAACGGCTACTAATACGATGGCGCTACAACCTGGGAAGTTCGCTCCCCAGCTCCGTGTCGTTTCACTCACAGGCGATACGGCGTTCAATGGAGCGGAGAGCGACTTTGTCCAATCCACACTTGATGGTGCCTTCCCACCTGCACGAGTACTTTCCTGGACTAAACATTTTAGACGACATAGCTGTTTATTAAGCTATGTCAAAAGCGATAATGAAGAAAAATAGCAAAAAGGAGCCTATCCTACTATATGTAACGTACCAAGCATAAA